TGCAAGTCTTGTGGCTATGCAACATGAGCACTATTACGTAGCACTTGGGGACTTGTACAGGTTACATACTCCTGCAAGCCTTGTTACTTTGTACCGTTAGCACTATTACGTAGCACTTGGGGACTTGTATAGGTTACACACTCCTGCAAGCCTTGTTACTTTGCACCGTTAGTACTATTGTGTAGCACTTGGGGACTTGTACAGGTTACACACTCCTGCAAGTCTTGTTACTTTGCACCGTTAGCAATGTTGTGTAGCACTTGGGGACTTGTACAGGTTACACACTCCTGCAAGCCTTGTTACTTTGCACCGTTAGTACTATTGTGTAGCACTTGGGGACTTGTACAGGTTACACACTCCTGCAAGTCTTGTTACTTTGCACCGTTAGCAATGTTGTGTAGCACTTGGGGACTTGTACAGGTTACACACTCCTGCAAGCCTTGTTACTTTGCACCGTTAGTACTATTGTGTAGCACTTGGGGACTTGTACAGGTTACACACTCCTGCAAGTCTTGTTACTTTGCACCGTTAGCAATGTTGTGTAGCACTTGGGGACTTGTACAGGTTACACACTCCTGCAAGCCTTGTTACTTTGCACCGTTAGTACTATTGTGTAGCACTTGGGGACTTGTACAGGTTACACACTCCTGCAAGTCTTGTTACTTTGCACCGTTAGCAATGTTGTGTAGCACTTGGGGACTTGTACAGGTTACACACTCCTGCAAGCCTTGTTACTTTGCACCGTTAGTACTATTGTGTAGCACTTGGGGACTTGTACAGGTTACACACTCCTGCAAGCCTTGTTACTTTGCACCGTTAGCACTATTATGGAGCACTTGGGGACTTGTACAGGTTACACTCTCCTTCAAGCCTTGTTACTTTGCACCGTTAGTACTATTGTGTAGCACTTGGGGACTTGTACAGGTTACACACTCCTGCAAGCCTTGTCACTTTGCACCGTTAGCACTGTTGCGTAGCACTTGGGGACTTTTATAGGTTAGACACTCCTGAAAGTCTTGTCACAATGCACCGTTAGCACTGTTGCGTAGCACTTGGGGACTTGTATAGGTTACACACTCCTGCAAGTCTTGTCACAATGCACCGTTAGCACTAATATGTAGCACTTGGGGACTTGTATAGGTTACCGCTACCACTGCGTGTGTGGTGTTTAAGAGGGTCACTGGTTCGCACTCACTCGCGTTTCTTTTCAATATTAAATTTCTTGATTTATCTTTCGAATACTCAGACATTAATTTCACTTAACAGTCGATCGAGAGGGCTAGCTCCGCATCCGGCGAGTTTAACTGTTGTTGCGAGACTTTCGAAAAAGGAACTCACTCTCTGTTTTTGAACAATCAGAGGTCCTGTGAAAATCTGGGAACGCCTCGTCGCCATCCTCCAAATCTCCGGGTTGGCTGGATTTAGACAATAGGGGGGAGGGGTTTGATCGAGTTTCTCATTCCTCCCAATGGTCAGCTGTTTCGCGGCGAAAGTTGGGTTCACGCGCTTTCACAGTCTTTCTGACCCGGGGTGGATCAAGGGGGTTCAATCTCATGGTCTGCTAAGGGTATGTCTGTGACGAATTTGGGGCCTAAATTGTCACATTCGTTACACTACACAGAAACAGGTTTTTGTATGATATTTAGAACGTGAATGAAGGGGAATTTGCTAAAGAGTGTTCAGAAGGTCTCCACTACAAGATAGCGGGTAATATTCGGATTCCTAAAACATTTGACTTCCGTGACCAATCGAGTGTTGAAAAGTGGTCCCTTTCCTCGACTATTGAAACAGTTTGCCGCTCCTTTCTAAAAGCAGTTTTTAACATTTGGAGAGTTATGACCGGTCACAGGGCTATCTCTCTAAGTGACAAAATGTTCTCTCCAGCGTCTTTTTGGACAGATTTCTCTTTTATTAGAGCGTAGGGCTCTTTGTAAAAGTACGGAGAGTGTCGGGCTGGTTTGATTTAAGTCCAGGGATTGTGACCCGTCATAAACTTTACCTTCTTGGAATTGCGTAAGCAAACTTTCAAGCTGTTACTTCTTTAGAATTTCTATCTCGTCCCAAAATACCTTCCTCTTTTTGTGTCGACTGGGCTTCTCTCTGTCTGTTTCCAAATTACATAGCACGCTCGGGTAGGAGGGAGGTCTGACTTCCCTTCGTGCCAATTGGGTTCAGGTCCCTCTGGTTTGAGTGAGGTGTGAGGTATTACCTCTGCTTCTTCGTAGTGGCAAGTACAGACACAAGTAAATAATAACAGGGTGGTCCTTTGCCTTGTACGGGTACAATATATTATTGTTGAAACATCCTAACTTCGGTGTCGAGCACAGATTATTCTAGAATGTTTTAAAGATGACATTATTTTTTGTTTAGGTGTCCTCAGATCGTGTGCTCTGTTTGTGTAGCTCTGTCACAAATGATACGCAGTACTTTACTAAACGCGTAGTTACAACAGAATTGTGTGGACATAAGCATGCGAAGAGCCATTGAAAGAATCTGAACAGGTAATCAGAATTTGTGAGGAATGAAATTATTGTTTGGGAATTCGCTTTTGTGACATTCCAGACGAGTCGCATACCAATTGAAGCCATTTTATTGGAGTTTCCGCGGTTTGTACACATGAGAACAACAAAATGGAATCCTCCTGCTACAGCGACGTCTAGAATTGGAAAGGCCCCAATAAACTGTGATTATTTTCAAACGACCACATTGAGAAACGCGTATTTGAAAATAACACTGATTTAATTTTATAAACGTCCTCCGATCGATTCCCTAGTAAGAACCATGAACATGAAATTTTTAGGTTAAGCCATCTAATCTAGGGATCAGGGTAGCGCGTCATCTTCAGTCAGTGACGTAGGCAGTCAAACGATTATTAGAAATTTCCTACATTCTATTATGGACATAATTCTGGCATCCCTGCATAGGTGAGAATTTCGAACATAATTACACATGTTTAAAAATGTAAATACAGTAAAACTTGGTTATAGCAACATCGGTTTCTGCGACACCTTGTCTATTGCGTCAAATATTCAATGGTACGAACTAATTCCCCATAAAGCAACTGTTTTTATACCTTGCTTAGTACGACATGCACAAATGCATCAACCTCGTATGTAACGTCATTTTCATTCCTGAATTTCTCTGATATGGACATTGAACGTAATTTAGAAAGTGTGTATAGTGTGTATTGTCAGTGAAAAGCGCTGTAATATGTCTTTGATATTACACATTTGGGCAATTCCACGTTAATGTTACGTTAGTCTGTACTTAACTACGTATTTCACTAAAAAATGCAACATTTTAACTCGGCTTTTGGTAGATTTTTACGTGACTAACATAAGGCTACTGTGGAAGTGCCCATTTCGGTTACAACGACATTCGTTTATAACGACACTATTTTTAGGTCCCTTTGATGACGTTATAACCAAGTTCTACTGTATATGTACATCATTCAAGAACACAAGCACAATAAGAATCATCTAAAACCAAAAAAAAAAAAACACATTACAGATACTTTCAACAAAAAATAGCATTTACGAAATTATACAAGGAGTACCCATTAAAATACGTTTTAAAGAACACATCCAAGTGATAATGGACAAGAAATCAAACTCCAAATTTGCACAAAACATACTAGACACACAGCACACGATACAATGGAGAGAACATTGGTCATATTCCACACTGAACAAAGAGTCCCCTACTGAACACGTTACAACGCCTCCACATACAGAGTCTGAGTATATGAAAAATACAAATGAGTAATACACACACAGAAACACAAACCCCCATATCTGATCTAATTGTGAAACATATCCCACATAATAATAAACCACTCACTAACCCACCTTCGCCATCACCACTTAAAAGAAAGCTTACACTAACCTTCCAGGATTACGCCCATCCTTGCCCTGAAACCACCTCAGTTCATTCCCAGCAACACAGGAGACTATTACATCACAACACTAGTAGCAAATCATACCCCAACAAGTAATTATATTGTGACGTATAGACCCGTTGCTAAGCAGTGAACAGTGACCGTCGCTAGGTAACGCTCGTAACATACACACACACACACGACAATTGAAAAAATGTGTTTTCTATGTGGTCCGCGCCGCGATCATTGCTATGCAACGGCGCAGTAATAACGCCTATTCTTCAACAGAGAGGCTGTGTTTTCTGCGTGGTCCGTGACTAGGAGTAATCCTTTAAGAAAATTAGCGAAAGACCAAGCATATTCATAAGAGTCAAACGTATCTCGTAAGAGAGGATGTTACAAAGGAACTTACCGCAAATTTCAGTGTAAAGAATCTAATCGTGGGTCTCAAGGGACTTGCCAAGACGAACTGATTGGCGGTAAACAGCCAGTCGTAAAGTAACTCTGACTTTGATCTTAACTTTGACTTTATTGTTAACCAAGTTCCGGAGTTCTAAGTGAGTTGTTAGTCGAGAGCTGGACGCTGCAAGGCAGACTGAGAAGATGGCGCTATGAGTTCAGGTGTGGAGTGTTAAGCACGGAAGCTGAAGAATCTCCACTGTGTTAAAGTCCGTAGTCAGGAAACGGCTAGTGGAGGCCGTAACATATTGGAGACACTAGTCTCTGTGTGTAAGTGATTTGTAAAACAGTTCCGAATGATGTACACGAGTAGTCAATAAACCTTTTTCACCAGTTTATACCCTCTCTATACTCATATACCCTAGATCGTGACAGTACAGTAACATTAATATTCACATAAACCCTTTCAGGAAATCAGTAAACAGCAGTAGAAAAGCAACATCATGGCGGTAATAAAGAGCAAAATAAGGACATAACCAATGAATCGGCTGCAGGATATCAAAGTAAGTATGGACATATTAAATGAGAAACAATATTGCCATTCTCGTGCAGCACATATTAAATTTTTCAGATAAGATATGTGAACAATATTATATTTAAGCATCCTGTTGCACTCTATAAGATATATGACATAAACACTGTTCCCAAGTGCTACAATTTATTGTAGTTCTTTTGTCTTGCCCTCTTCTACACTACACTACACGTAGTAAAGATAAGCAGCGGCCGCACACAGGGAGCCTACACAGAATAACATAATATCAAAATTGACGTGTGTAGGCAACAAAGATAATGCACAAAGCAGACAGATATCAGCGAAGTAGATTCTGATAAACCGAAACCTGTTGGTAACGACGAAAAGTCTCGTGGTTTTAAATTTTAAACTAGATGCAGTGTAACAGCTACGTAAGTGTATACACCTGATGATGGCTGTTTGCGGCCGAAACATGTAGTGTAGAAGAGGGCAAGACAAAAGAATTACAATAAATTGTAGCACTTGGGACGGCGTTTATGACATTGCGAAAGCAAGCAAGAACGAGTCCAGGGGTGATAACTAGGGACCGGATTTTTATGCCCTAATAATCCTTTAAATATGTATGCATTTATGCATGGAAAACTTCCGAAATACGCACTAAAATATGCATATAAAAAGTTGTACCAAATATAAAAATTGATTTTACATTATTTTAAGACCAACAAATCAATGTTTAAGTTCATTTTATGCAATCACTGAATGATTCACTTGCAATAAAAAGCTATATTTAAATGCAAATCATGCAACAAAGCCAACATATTTCATTACTACATAATTTAAAAACCCAATGGTACTCACATTTAGCTCTCCGAACATTCAACTTCTCTTCTGTGGCAGTTCACAATTACTAAATATTTTAGGTTTTCCGTAGTTAGTCGCCTTCTGTTGTCTCGTAAGATGTCCTTATAGCTGGAAAACTTCTTTCCACCTCACAGGAACTTAGGGGCGCATGTACAAAAGTCGCTATTTGCTCCACTGCTAGTGATTTTTTACTTGGCAGTTCAGTACGTTTACCGGCTGAAATTGTATACACACGACCATGATTGAAAATTTGAACATAAAATTACAAGAAAGCAGTCTTCTGGGATTTGGCACCGTGTATATGTGGTGTTAACCGACGTTTCGGAGGAACGTATCGCCCCCATCTTCAGTTTCTCACGGTGTTGTCGCTTGCAGAATTCTTATACTTTTTCTTCTACCCTGAAGATGGGGGCGATACGTTCCTCCGAAACGTCGGTTAACACCACATATACACGGTGCCAAATCCCAGAAGACTGCTTTCTTCATAGTCACCGCCGTGAAAGCCTCAAATCTTACATAAAATTACAAAATATATATGATAAATATTTTAAAAAGCAAATATGCAGTATAAATAGAGATCTTCGAAAATATGATGCTTATTCATAAAACGGGCAAAATATGCATTTATATGCACCATCAAACCATGTCCAAAATTTAAGAAAGGAAGTAATTCATACATATATCCAAACGAGCATACTTTCTGGTTGCAAGAAAGAAATATGCATTTGCATTAAAATCCGGTCCCTAGTGATAACAACGCAAAAGAGACCAGTACCTACGAAATATAATAATTTATTCACAAGTGACCACCGATAACATACACCCAATATACATCCACGTCAATATAAAAATAAAAATGAAAAATTTAATTTGCCATATATTTTCTAGTTTCCTTGTCAAATTCTACCAAGGAAAACACCAATTTATATAGATAAACAGTAAGTACTTTAGAAATTTTACTAGTTATTAATAAATATGTGAATATATTTAAACACTGTGACATGCACTGTTTTGCACTTTACGTGGTAAGAAGTTGCGGAAGCAGTTCAGTAAGAAACAATTAGGATATTATTGTTCTTAAACACCTGATTATGGTCTAAACGGCCGAAACATGTAGCGTAGTAACATTTCAATGAACATCAATGATTTAAAATACAAAATTTGTGATTGACGGATATACCACGTACTAGGGATGCACATAACAGGATGTCCAACATAAGTTTAAGTTGTCCCTGCCTTAACTAATTAAGCACTAAGCCATGAAGGCGTATGGGGGAGTGGATGTATAAATAGAGCAGTCGGTATAGCTATGGCTACGGGCTGGACGACCAAAGGATCGGAGTTCGAGTTACGGTAGGGTCAAGAATTTTCTCTTTTTCACGTCTTCCAGACCGGCTCTGGGGTTCACTCAATCTCCTATCCAATGGGTAATTTCGGCTCTTTCCCCGGAGATAAAGCGGCCGGGCCTCAAGGTCGCTACTCACCTCAAGATAACATGGATGCACAGCATACGAATAAAAATACTTCTACACGATTTTCCTTCCGCCACTCTCATTAACATACACACACATTGCTGTAATTTCCTGCATTAGTGTCAGCGAACACTCTTGTTGTCTAAGGCTTAAATCAATGTACATTATTTTTGAGTAGGAACCGTTAAAGAGAAAAGTCCTATCTGTTTAATGTTACTTTCGGTTAGGTGATTTTGCTTCAAGGCTTATGACTAGATATTAATGTAGTAATATTTTAATGACAAATTTATGACCTTTTTAACATGACCACGAAACTTCAAACCTGTCTTTGACACAATATATTTACCTTCTGTTAGGGACCTTGGCATAGGAAACGACAATGGCACAGTATTTTTCTTGACGATTGTTATGAATAAATACAAAATAATCAATAAAGGGAAATTCGGTGTCAATGATGTTTTACTGGAGGTATTGAAAATTATAAGAAGTGGTAGTCATTCCTTTTTAAAATTCGCTTCACTGAGGAGAAACACATGATCAGAAATATTAATTCCTTACTACGCAGTGCAGTGAGTTCATGTGTAGTTCAGACTGCACTGAAATGCCCAAGCAAGGGAATGAACACTATTCCGAAAAATCTTCTGTCGCTTCAGTGACAAAGTGTCAGTCAGTGATAGGAAGACAGGACACTTGAGAAAAAAATTACTTTCATACCTGAAACTATGAAAGATATTACCAATATAGAGGAGTGACCTGTCCTAAGACTCAAAAATGGAGGTTGTAACTGTCCAGCTTATGGTATGGTCAATTGATATCTTGTGTATGGTTAGGGTTCTGTGAAATTCCTCACTTTCGTCTCACAATTTGAGAATTTCCGCCTGACACACCCAGCAAGTGGCTTGGGTCAAGCTTGAAGCCAGTTGCCCATCCGTAAATCAGTCAAGTTAATGCGTAACACAAGGACGAGTTCTTTAGAAATTCTAAACTTGACAGGGGAAGCCATAATTTTAGCAGCTACGTTTTATGCTACCCCAAAATCTTAGTTTGACAGCCACGCAGCAGGTGGCAAAGTTCACCCCTAAACTCTATACTCCTGGATATTCGCTTTTCTAATTGGAGGAGAAAGATAAGCAACCTCCCATTCTGCCCGGTCCAGCCAATCATAAACTGAAGTAGGAGGTCCTTTGCCCTAATTTTGGGTAACCAGGGCTAATATTTACCATTCAGAGCTTGCTTGACGAAAGGACTCAGAAATTTACATTCACCGGAGGTACGCGTGTTCTGATCCCCGTAAATACAACCTGTGGTGTAACGTGCGTGTTTTAGTAAACAGTAAGGAAGCTACATCCACGGATCTGTGAGGTGTGTCACTACCGTGCAGTTACCATTTATATAGTGCTGAGTGAATAAAAACTTAAACAGTTAATTGGTGTTGAGTGTGACTTCCT